ATAAACTAAACGTTCACCAAAAAACTTTAGTGAGAAAACTCTAAAAAACGAACTACAAACATATTAACGCCAAACATTCGGTAGAATTTATATGTATATATATGTATATATATATATTTACATAATTATATGTATATATATATGTATATATATATATGTATGTATATAAATATATGTATATATATTCGAATGGTACCGGTAATGATCGTAATGAAAGTTGTGGTTTTAATGATCTTAAAAAAGTAGGTAATAACAATGTAATGAAAGGTGGTAGAAATATTGGTGTAATTAAAAATGATCGGACTAATTATAACTTTTGTGTGGTTAAAATAAAATTGGGTTTACTAAATATAAGATCGATTGGCTCAAAGTACAACATCATTTATTATTTGATCACTGATGGTTTTGATATTTTTGTTGTTACTGAATCATGGCATGGTTCATCAGAAAATCCCTTCATTGCGTTATTTACTCCTCCTGGTTACCGCTTTGTTGATTGTGTAAGAGATCACGACCCTCTCCATGGTGGATTGATAATATTTTTTCGTTTATGTTTAAAATGTAAAAAAATAGCCTTACCTACAGTTACCACATTTGAAGTTTTGGCGGTTAGGTTTACAGTTAATAGTCAGGAGTTTATTTTGCTCGCTATTTACAGACCGGGTTCTGCACAGCTGTCTGGATTATTTTTTAAAGAACTGATTTCTATTCTGGAAAACATTACAGTACTCAGTTCTTGAATTATTTTAACCGGGGACTTCAATGTGCACGTTGAAAAGACGAATGATCCTGATGCTGCTAATTTAAATGATATCTTCGATAATTTTCAACTCATTAATCGTGTAAAAGCACCAACACATTTACGTTGTGGTACACTAGACTTGATAGTAACTTCTGAGGTTTTTCCAGTTCATGATTGTTTAGTCCATCCAAGTAGAATTTATTCTGATCATAGTTTTATTTGGGCTGAACTGTCGATGACTCGAGGATATTTGGTTGTAATTAAAAAAGTTTCTAAAATGGGGAATCAGATGAATGTTGATGACTTCATCAAACTCGTGCTTGAATCTCCAGTCTCCAAATCATGTCAAAGCAATGAGGTAGACAAGGAAATGCTTTTATTTAACAATGAGTTAAAATCTATTGCTGATAAAGTTGTCCCTATTCGTGCAGTGACCACCAATAACGTTCGTATGGCTTCGTGGTTTGATAATGATTGCAGGTTATCCAAGCGTTTGTGCAGAAAAATGGAAAGAAGATACAGAAAATGTTCACAGTTGATTCATCAAGATGAATGGAAGACTGCTTTAAAGAGTAAATCGGAACTTTTCTCTAAAAAACGTCGTCAGTATTGGACACAAATTGTTGATGACAATAAGATGAAACCTAAAAATCTTTGGCGGGTTGTGATTCTCTGTAGCATTCTCTGTAGGGGTCGTAACGATAAATCCTGCTCGGATTTGGATGAACTGACACCTGTCGATTTATGTGCTATTTCAATGAAAAGTTAAGCAAGCTGAGAGATAGTGTCAACAACGATGCTCAACCGAGCCTGGCAAAATTCA